CATGCCTGCTGTTCTGAAAATTAATTAAAAAACTGATTTTGTTTACCTTGAGACAAGTGACTTGTATTATTAGAACAGAATTAGAGCTATTATTAGAGTATTGTTACTATTCTGACATATTTGCTCCTTCCTGGACTGACTAGCAAAAATCAGTTGTTAGACAATTCTACCTGTCACTAGTGGCCATATAGCAATATCTAACTGAAAACTTTTGGTTTCACTGTATACAGTTCTTGGTCAGTTTTTCACATACAGAGGCAATGGGCTTGGAGCAGCTTGGTGAGTAATAGTCAGTTGACTCTAACCAGGACAGCAGCCTCCAGCTCTGGGAAGGAAGCAGACATTACAGACAATGGGAGGAGGCACTGGCATGAGATGTGACAGATCTGAGCCTTTGTAACACCTTAGAGCCTTCTACTGAAGACCAGTCCTGGCTGCCTACGGAAATTACCATGATGCCTCTCAGGTGACACTGCGTCTGTCTTGCGGTAACCGCTGGCATGATCACCTTGCTGTTAAACTGTAAATCTGTGATTGGAGCACATCAGGCACGTGGCCATGGAAGAACTGCTAGGGCACCTTGTCTCCGCTTTTACATCTGGTTTTGTATAAAGAAAAGGTGCTGCTGTGACTTGCGCTAAGGAGTTCCCTTGGCACGTCAAGTCAAACGTCTTCTGAGAAGTCCAGAAAACCATTGGCACCTGTGAGGAAATCAACTGGTCAGTATGGCCCCCAAAATCAAGGTGAGGGAGGTTTGGTCTCTGTTTCTTTCAGAGCTGTGGTCAGCAGACCTGTTTGTGGGGAGTCTGCAGACAGCACAGATTGTGCTATCATGGCCTTGCTGATCCTGCAGCGCGTTGCTGTGCGTGTTTGGTGGTGTGCAGCGCCCAGCCAGGGCTTCATGCCGCAGCAGAGGCACAACCACCCCTTCACTGTTAGCTCTGAAAGACTCTGTCTTGCCATCTTCCCACAATGCACCTACCATGACTGCTAGGAGCAGGGAGGACCTATTTGCCTATTCTGAGGTAGGAAAATTTGTTACTGTATAGTACCTGTCCTAACTCCAGGCCTCGTGTACTTTAAGTTAGGGCCCTAATTCTTTCACCAAGTGCAAAGTGAAACTAGCAAGAAATTTTGGATTTCCTCCATCCATTAGTATCCAGCTTGCCCAACCCTTACAGTTAGTGAGTTGAATCATAGTGAATGCCTTCCCCAGCAGGCTGAGAGCCTTCTGGCTGAGGGTATTCTCCTGCTCCTTCTTGAAGCTGAACCAGAATTAGCCAAAGGCAAGGATCTGACTCCACTGAAGGCAGGCAAGATGGACCCTGACTCTGAAGCATTTAGGATAATGGAGGAAAATTGTGACTTTGTTCCCTAATTGTGTTTTGGTTTTGTTTGTTTGTTTTAATCTGTGGTAATTTATTAGTATATAACATGAGCATATTCCAGCTTCAGCCTGCTGATCAGAGGACTCAGTTTAAGGCAGGTTCTCTTGTCTCTTCTCGGAATGGTTCTGTAATCTCTGCATGCTCAGATCCAAGCAAGTGGTGTTACTTCATTTGGCCAAGAGGTGACTCGCCAAATCTGTGATCTGGCCAAGAGATGACTTGAAAGATGCAGGCTCAGACCTATCAGACTAAGCAGAGCCTAAGTCCAGGGCCTCTCGCCCCCTCTGGGGTTGAGCATGCTGCCCACAGGGGTATTGCCCCAAAGGTGGGGTTGCACACACAAGCGGAGGCCCTACAGTTTCATGCTTTCCAGTTTCATGCTTTATATACCCCACTGATACTGGTAATCGTGTAGTTGGTTCTCACTTGTCGAAGTACTGATGGGACTTGTGTGGCCAAGTTTCTTTGCACTTTGGGATTCAATTCACCTTTTTACCGTTTTGATTCCACCCTCTCTTAAATCTGTGAGTGGATTTTTTTTTAATCTTTTTTCTAAATTGGTTTTTCCATTTAGTGTAGATGGATGATAATGCCAAGTCTGTTACTACATAGGTATCTTGTACAGACCAATTTGATGTAGCCTGCAGGTGGCAAGTTGAAAACTGCAGTTCTAGAAAAAGTCAGCTCAAACAGGCCAGTTATTTACTGGGAGGTTTATTTGCCAGTAACAAAGGAAAGATGGTAACTTCAGTATCTAATAGATAGATCTGTTTCTCAAACTAGATATAATCCCAAATCCTCTGCTTAGAGGTTCAGGTCTGTAATTAGTTTGCTCTACAAGAATGTATTTGCTTCATGAGTTTGTCTTGTTGATTGTTCTGAAAAAATTGGACAAGATTTTGCTGCAAGTTAAATAATGGAACAATCTGTTTTTCATTCAGAGAAACTTTTTTCTTCCCACTTGCTGGGCTCTCTCTATTTGACACCATTTTAAACCACTATTTCTGTTTTGGCAGGTGAAAACATTTGACAGGACCAAGGAATTTGGAAATGTATCTTTACATCATTAAGAAAGATTAGCAGGATCTGAAAAATATACATGGTTTAAAGTGTTTCTTTACTGAAGTTGCTTACCTGATAATGGTTTTTTGGATATTTTATCAATTAGCAACTAATCATGATACAAGTGATAGTTAAGTTCTCTCTCTTTTTTTCCTTTCTTTCCTTCTCCCCCCAACTCTTAGGCAGGAAGATCCACCGAGACCTTTTTCGCTGCACCCATGCTTGAGGAGCTCTGATGAAGAAGTAAGATTCCTGCAAAAATGTTCTCAAATTCTGGTGTATTGTCTCCTACCCTCAAAGGATGTCCAGTCTGTCAGCTTGCGCATAGTCCTTGCAGAAATACTTGCAACAAAAGGTAGATCAAAGATCAGAAATGATTAACCATTTGCACCTGTACAATATTAGTAATTACAGACTTCATTATGTATAAGTCTTGATGCTCTGCTTTTAAATGCTGAAATTTAATGTCTGTGATAACCACTAAGACACTTCATATTCTCAAAATCAAGCGTTTACTTACTTGACTCTCATGACTTGATGCCAGGCTGTTTAGCAGCTTTCAAGGTAAAACACAATTTGTCCATTCCATTCTTGTGTTTGTTTCACAAAAGAGTGAAACAGAATTGCAGTCTTCCCTGAAATGATTTTTAGTAATTATATGAATAATTCTGGCCTCTTATATTTTATTCAGATACGTAGAATCCATAGACTTAAGGATGTCTTAGGTTACAAGGATCATAACTGAATCATGACACTAGATTTAATTAATTTTTTTGTAGACTTCGATTTACCCAGTGTGGTTTTTTAATTGAGGGTTTTCTATTTTGCTTTTTATTTTATCAGCTACACTTTAATCTGATTATAAATACACTAGACATTTTTTATGTCACTGAAGTCAAGTTCAGAAATTATGAAGTCTCAAGAGCATTATGCAATCCAGTTTACTTTTAATTTTCATGTATAGTGGCTGTAATGTCATAGCCTTCAAGACGCACAGCAGAAAGAACAAAAACACTTGGAATTTTCCAAATAGAGCTCAGCTTTGTCAACGTACATCAATTTGTGTAATAGAATAAACAAACAGTTTTATCAGGAAGGTACAGCCAATCTCAAATGTACTATGCAGTCCAGAACACTGGTTTTGGATTTATATCAACTTGTGTATTTATTTTTGCCTTTTATCTACAGTTTTCTTGTGAAGGTCATCAGTTATTCATCAGCATAAGGATTTTGTTTTAAAATATTTTTCCTCTCCAGTACTGAAACCAGTGGTGGAACTGCTGAGTGATCCAGATTATATTAACCGAATGCTACTCAGCCAGCTGGAGTACAGAGAACAGATGAATGAGCATCAGAAGAAAGACTACACATATGCTCCTTCTTATGAGGAGTTCATCAAGCTCATTAACAGCAGCTCTGATGTTGAGTTCCTGAAACAACTGAGGTATTTAATGTTTCACTGTGGCTCATTCAAAACTAAACATGCTTCTTTTGCCAGCCCATTACTGAGATTTGAATGAATCATGGTTTTTCTTTTTAAATTCAATTTTAGATTTCTTTTTCTTTTGATAAAGCGGAGACAGTACGGATGATAAGCCACAACGTTTGTTAAATCTCTAGTATAGTCAGCTTTTTAGTTCAGTGGCAGAAAATGTTGAAAAATTCCACTTCGTAGTATACTGGAGATGACTGTACTGTTGAAAGGCATACCAGACCCTTCTTTACAGCTTGCCTCTGTGGAGTTAGATAAAATATGCTGAATTACCACTAGTGTGAGGTTGTCTCCTCTTTATGAAGTATGGCTGGTCATGGTGGTCTGGTGACTGTGGAGCATGGTGACCAAGTAGACACTGGGCATTCAGAGCAGCTGAAAGAGTGGTTTGAGTTCCAGCACATTTTGCCACTGGATCAGAAGTTTTCCTGGACTGTTGCAGGGACATATTTCCCAGTCTCATCCTTCTTAAACATATTAATGAAGTCTGAAGAATTCCTTAAAGAGCAAAAAAAACCCCCATTGAACTCCTCCATATCATGAGTGAGTTTGATGTTTCTGTTTTCTAATTGAAATAGCATCTGCTTACTTTCATACTAATTCCCCACCTTACAAAACATCTCATCCCTTTTTCTTTCCATCTTTCATCATAATATGTGATACTGCTTGCATCTCAAGCCTGCTTGCCCAAGTACAAGATGTTTATGCTTGCCTTATCTTCATAACTGAGCTCTTTCTCCTCTGATTTCTGATGTAAGTGAAAGCATAAGGAACAAGTGACTGGGAACCAGCGAGCAGAAATACTGCTGTTGTAGGATCTCCCTAGATGTCTTTGAGTTGGTTTTGTTGAGCACACCAAAGCTTTGGAGGACTGTTGAAGCCATTTCCAGAGTGTGTGTCCTAATCTGTTACCAGCAGCCAGAAAAGGTATTTTTTTTTTCCTCTTCCCTGACTCCCTTTCAATTGCTGCTGCAGGTCAGCTTTCTCTCTTCCTAAATGGCTGCAGCAACATCTAAAAGACACAAGCACATTGATTCAGTTTGGTGCAGTGTGTCATCTGTTGTGACCCAGACCTTCTGTTAGGCTTGGCTTGATCAGGCCAAGTGATGGTTTATTGAGATGGAGTATGTGGGCTGCATAAATAACATCTTTCTCTTGTTCTTCTCTTTGATTCTGAAACCACTTGCATTTCTGAGATAGGAAAATGCATTTAGGTGATGGCGAAATGATTTTGTTGCTTGGCTACTTATTGTTCATCTGCTGTGAAATTTGCTCTTTACTCTGGGCCAGTGTGCCTTTCCTGAGAGCAGAAATTAGTCTCTATTAGGCTCTGTCTAAAACCTAATTGGCATCATATTTATTAGCATAATCACACTAATGGATCTGCCTGTTTCAAAGAAACCCAACTCTTCTGTTGTTGTTGTTCAGGCACATTAATGCTCAGTGTGCTCTCTTTTTAGCTGATAGGTCACTTGAAATTGTGTTCTCTAATATCAGATAACACATTTGCTTTATGAAATAATGTGGTTTGGGCTGCGTTTAGGTTTTTCCTTTCTAGCCTGTGGAGTCCAACTACCATCATCTTGGATGTGTTCCTCTACACCCTACGTAATGTTTATCAGTCTGAGCTGATCAGTATTTGAATGGAAAATGTCTGAGAAACTGTATCCTCTTTTCAAAGAGAAATAGCATTTGGCTTTGGAGGCAATACTCATCCTTCCTCTGTTTGTCTCTAAGAAGGTGGTTAAAGACCGTTCCCTTGTGGGAGGAGGGATTCCTGTTCTGTTGGTTCTCCAGCACTGTGGGAACACCTAGAGAGAGATGAGCCAACCTGTAGACATTTCAAAGTTATGTAGTATATTTTGCAAAGCTCTCATCATTTTCCAATGCAAGTTTACACATTTATGTCAAGGAAACCAAACAGTGGTCCCTATATGGAATGGGGGGGGAGGAGGGGAGGTGATATTTTAGATAAATAAGCTAAATGGTATTTCGGGTTGTAAATCACAGCAGGTAAATACAGGAAAATCTGTAAAGAAGGAATTAAAGAGGAGGAAACAAATAAACCATTATGTAGTTACCACTGAGGAATACGGCTAGAGTCCGTCAGAGTGACGGGAGTGGGGAGAATGCTTCCAGTTCTCTTCCTACAACAAATAAATTACTGGTACGTTGTACTTAAACACGTTTCCCAGTTAGCTATTCTGGGTAATAATATTCTGTTTATCAAAAATTCCTTTTCTTGCTTTTATTTGGAAATCATTTTTCAGTGCCTGTTCTAAGCCAGTGCATGGCATTCATGAACTCTAAGCCTATTCCTATTCCTCCTCATGTTGCCACGTAACATCTGGGTAAAGAACAGATGTAAGCAGTAACAATTTTTTCTGTAGCCTCAGCTTTGAGTGGAGTTTATCCCAAGGCACTACAGTTGCTGGGAAACTTCTTAAAAAATCCCTGCTGTGCTTTATCTTTGCAGTTTAATTACTATAGATTTACTAAAATAAATATGAACTAAAATAAAATATGCTCTCAATGGACGATGCCATGAGGCACTAATAAACAATTCCTCAGACTCTTGACGGACTGCAGTCAAGAAAGCTCGTACTTCTGGGTGCCCCTTGCTGTATGCACATGACGTTACAGGAGGTAAGTCCCATGGGGCATCCTTCCAGACTGATTTCATTAACAGAGTTTTGCTGGGCTTTCTTGTGACTAGAACCAGGTATTTGTTATGGGGTAAGTAGGGAAAAGCCCCTGCCTGGATCAGTGGAAACCTGTGGGTGAATGGTCTTGTTGCTCTTGGCCAGGAAATCAGAAAAATGGGAGGCTGTGTCTGTTGGATCTCCTTCTAAGCAAGTGTACCAGGCTTCTACCTTGCAAATAGCTCTCCCTGAAAGGCTAACATGGTACTAGGATTTTCTAAATCTTTTCTCTCTCCTTGCTTAGAAGCGTTACGGTAAGAAGAAATATTGTATTGATTTTCTGCATTGCTTTTATGGATTTTATTTTTAGAACTTATTTAAGATGCAGGAACTACTTATTCATTTTGGAGATACTTTTGAATTCATGGTTCATTAATATCTATAGCGGGCCTCTAACATTTGGTCACTTTATCTCTTAGCAGAACTTCTCTCTATTGCTTTGTGGAAACATTCCTTTCATTTTTGTCAGGGACATTTGGGGAGCTGATGTTTGTTTTCATAAAAAGTCACTTGTTGATTTGTGAGGAGCTTCTTCGTTTTTTTCATACCTTTCCTTTCTGAAAATTTGGGGTTTTTTCCCCCCAAACAAATCCAAATCAACAAAGATTCCAGAGAAGGGACCATTGTACGGTTATCTACGAACATCCTTCAAAGTCACTCTTTATAAAAGTTTACCTTCACTGTTGTTTGTCATGAAGGGAGGCAGAGTTTTATTCCTTATCAGGTTTCCACAAGATGTGTTGTCTCTCTCTCTTTCAAGAAGAAAAAGTTAAATAGTGAAATTTCACCTCCATTTTCCCTCGGATTTAATTTAGCATGGATAGATTTGAAGTTGGCTACAAATAAGGAAAGGATTAATTCTTCCATGTCAGATGTGAAACAAATTTACTCGCTCTGTCAGAAGACTAGAGATAAAAGATATGAGGACTTAAAAACATAGCTGAGAATAAATAGTGATAAAGAAATAAACTGGTGGATAATTTTCATTCTGCTTTCAAGATCAGCATTATATTTTTTCTGTTATTTATTAGTATAGCAGCAAAAGGTCACTACACAATTCATAGTAAGACCATTATCGCTGTCTCTGTGTCATCTTTTACTTAAGAAATGAGGGAAAGGGACGAATATAACGAAGAATAGGGAAGAGAGCAGAGTGGAAGGGGAGAAGTAATGTGTATGTGAGCCCACGATTGGTCCAGTTTTAGCAAGTACAGTTCACTTCTTGAAAAGGGAAAGAATACATCACATTTAAAACTTTGAGGATATAACTTGGAGCATGTCCCTTACTTAGGGTAATATAATGAGGAATGGGGAGGGGGAGGAAAAAAAGATGTCGTATTAATAATGAAAACATGTAAAACTATGAGTGTGAATAAATGGGAGTAAATTTGGAAGGAAAAAAATTTGCAAGGTAAAAGTAGAAACTGCCATGTGCAGTATTTACTTGGTTGTCTGTACCTTCTTTGATAAATTCATAATGTGCACAGTTACCTTACAACACCCGAGTGGGGTGTATGAGTGTTGTTTATAATGCATTTACAGATGACATAACCAAGGCACCAAAAATCCAAGTGAGCTGCCCAGAATCATTTGGGAAGTCTGTGTCTGAGCAGGGAATTAACTCTGGGACTTCTACACACCAAAATACCACCCTCACTATGGGGCTGTTCTTCCTCTGAAGAACTGGGCAAGAACTGTGGTGGTGCATGGAAACAACCAAGATGCAGGAATGGCAAAAGGAAACAGGGTTAGAAAAATTAAAGCTCTGCAAACACGTTCTCAGGTTTCAACTTGGTAATTGAAGGAGTTGGGTAGAATAAAGATTACCAGGGGGGAAAAAAAAAAAAGAAATAAACTCTGGAAGTGTAGCTGTAAGTGAGCGTATGCTATGTGTATAAAACTATGTTTATACAGAGAAACAGAGACAATCAAAATCCTGAAAGAGTTACAGGAGGCAAGAGGAATGGGGGGAATTGAGTAATGTTGGTAAAAGAAGTATACATGGAAGAAGGGGAATATAAATATATTATAAAAATATATATTTTAAGGATCATATTCTCTGAGCAGTCATGGAAATAGCAGACTCTCCAGGAGGCTTCAGCCTTCATCTAGGAGTTAACTTGATAGATGAGGTTAGGGAACTCCTACAGGAGTGAGTTAAATTCACTAGAATACTTGCTTTATTACCAGTATTAATAGCTGCCAAAGTAAGTGCATTGAGAGGAATTTGAATGTTTGTTATGACCAGAACTTTGACTTTTGTGAAAGATTGAACTGGCAGTCATTTTCTTTGACTGCCTGGTGTTTGTTAGTTACAAGACTGGTTTTGCTTAAAATTCAGTTTACTAACTGCATTAGCTCTCTTCCATTATGTATAATTTCAGGTGTATTTCAGGAGTATAGTTTCAGGTGATAAACACGTTTTAATTATTCCTGGAGTGTAGTACTTTAGTGTTTTACTTATTTTAATATACTTTTTTTCTTCTCCTAAGTTACATATGCTCCATAGATGTATTGAGTTTCAGCATTAGCTGGAAGAACCTTACAGTCAGCTCTTTGCATTTGAACTGAACTCCCATCCTAGTTTCCTACAGAGAGCTTGTATTTGATGTTAGGAGCATGACTTTACATGGTGTTCATTGAATATTATTAACTGGCTGTGCAGTGCCAGCAGTTGAGAGGAGGTGGCAGTATTATTGTTAGTTGGGTGTTTTCCTTTTCTTTCAAGATAACCTTTTTTTCCTACTGTACTCCATATGCACATTGCTCCTTTGGTTGCAGATACACTGAGAAATAACTCTTTTTTTCCAGGTGAGGAGGAGGTGGAAGTGTTTTGAGTTTTATTAATTCTTAAGTTTGCTGAATGAAGAATACATTGTAAAAAAAATAATACCATGTTTGTTTGTTTTTTCTTCTCTCCTCCCTCTTTGCCCTTATCCCCTACTGTTTTTAAAACTAGGTATCAGATTGTAGTGGAAATAGTTCAGGCAACCACAATCAGCAATATTCCCCAAGTGAAGAGGCAGAAAGGTAAGATTCCATTTTGTTAAGTCACATCTGTTGTTTTCATTTTGAAAAGCTGTTTGAACTCCCAACATACATATGCAATCAGTGTGTGTGGGATTTTTAGACAGATTTTAGGAATGCTATGCCTTCAGTGTTTCAGTTCTGTTTCATTTGTCTGATTCTTCCAGAAACTCCCATGGTGTCATTATTCCCCCACACCATCTTCATCTAAGCTGATGGAAAGGTCATATCTATGATGCATTTATTTTCAGAACTTCCTGCAGCTGGGATTTTTTTGGCATTATAAGTGTGTATGCTGAGAATCTTGCTTCCTCTTTCTTTTTCATGCAATCCATTCTTCAAAGTCTCAGTCTCTTCTTTCAAAACACAGAAGAAGGAATGATACAGCATAATTGTCGGTCAGACTTTATTTTGACTCTTTATTGTATGATGTTTTTGTGTTGCAATACAGAGTGCTCTTAAATCATTCTGCAGTGTGTTGGTAATGTCTGCCTTTTAAAAATGCACATGCATCTTACATTTGTACTTACTTTTTTTTTATATATACTGCTTTTTATGGTTCTCAATACATACCAAAACTGTGGTATATCTTCAGGAGTTTATGGCAAAAATACAGGTGTAGTTTTTGCTTGGACAGATATACTTAAGGTATATCAAAGCATAATAAAAAGGTAATGGACAATATAAACTAATTTGTAAACAAACAAATCTAAAAGATCTTGCTTTTAGGTTCTTACGTAATCTCTGTCAGGTTGAAAAAAATAAAATCCTTTTTGTAGCTCCTTGTATCACGAAGGAAAGATTTTAAAAGTGATTCAAGTGTAATGAAAAATGCAGAAACAGAAAATAAGCGTGCCATGATGAGAGAGGAAAAAAAAATCTTTGGGCAGTCTGAAGAGTTTGGGGTCCATGCTCAAGTTTCTGAAAGTATAAGGTTGTCAACACTGAATCGCCTTTTGTTTACATTCTGAAATAGAGCTAGATGTGCATTCCTGTAGGATAAATTGCTTGTGTCAAACCAAGGCAAAAGGAAAAGTTGGCACTGTTTTTTGCTCAAGTGTACATTACAGAAAGTTATTAATATTTCTCAGATGAAAGTTAATTTAATGGAAAGTCTGTTTCATAAAGTAATAAAATGAGAACAGGGAAGTTAACTCAGAGTACATTATGAAAAATCAATCTTGCTAAGCCTGTATTTCCATTTGTGCTGCCATTGGTCTTTGTTGTGATAAGAATTGATTCGGGGTATGTTTTTACACAGTTTAGGTTCCTACAATTAATTACTGTCTCACTCTGTATCATTTGAATTTATCTAGTTAACCATCCACTGTTCTAAACCCTGAGCAGAACATGTTTTTTCTGAAGCTACAAGTTCCTGGTACTGCAGAATAGATAGAAAAAAAATATTGCTATTTATTCTGCCAGAGTAGTTCTGGTTCCACTTACTCTATGATGAAGTTGGTTCTGCATTTTTATGGGCTCTTGACTTTTACCTGTAATAAAAAAAAATGCAACAGAAATTCCACTAGCTGGTGCACTGATGTTTTGTGTTAAGGTATTGACTTCTATTATTAGTTTAGGCCTGTGGCAACCTTGTATGTCATTTAAGAGTTGATTACCACTGCTGGCTATGTTAGCCAGTGGGGCTGTTGTGGCTAAATCTTTTATTTATTAAATAGTCAATGGTTATTCACATTGTGCCTGAACAAAAAGGTGACATTTTTTTGCTTGACACATGTGGAACAGTGTGTCCAACAGAGGCATGAAAAACAATCTTATTATAGGTTACACAAATTTAAGGCAGATTTCTAATCTGTTTCAGTTATTCCACTAAGGTTTTCATCTACCAAAAATTTTCAGGCTCAATCTATGTACGGTAAACTTCGAAAGGGCTATCAAAACTGTACATGGTTAAAATCTAGTTTTGAAGGCTTTTTTGTGTCTTGTTTTTCCTGAGGTTGGTGGAGACATTTTTCCTAATGTGGTAATGAATCTAACATGTTCCTGAATTTTAGGAAGAAAAGTTTAAGGAAAAAAGCTGTGCCACCTTCCTTAAAACAAAACAAAGCTGACAAAAACCCCAGCACAGCTCACTGCTGATACAAAGGTTGTTGAACTCGTGTAGGACAGACCACCACATTACTTATGTCGCCTTTTGATGTTTCCCTTTCTGGATGCCACAGCGTACTGCTATCCCTGCCACAGCTGGATTTCATGGTGAATAACTGAATGTAAACTTTATGCACAACGGAAGTGTGTTTGCACAATCTCATTGTATCTTTCTCTTTTTAATCTGTTCCCTCACTACCTGCTGCATACCTATAATACCCGTGTGAGCACGGGTGTTCGACGCGTGCGACAGTCTCCCCTTTCCTACTAGTAAATGAGCTCTTGCCTTTTGCCATGGGCATCTCTTAGCTTTGATTCCAGCCTGGTGAGAGACTGTCTTGCTGGTAGCTATTTCCTTTTTCCTGTAGCAAAGTTGGGTCCTGAAGATGTAACTGCTTCTTTAGCACCTGGGTGTTCAGCTAGAGCATCTGAACTTTGGCTGCCCGGCATTCTGTCGAGCCCGATACCTGCTCTCAGGCTGTAAGAATAGAACAAGTGTAGAATAATATGTACGTGGATAGTCTCATCAGTTTGAGGCATGGGAGCTTCCTGAGGCAGCGTTTTTGATAGAAAAAGGTACAGCAAGAAACGTGAGGAGCGGCTTAGTGCAGCAGGAGCGGCCGATACTCTGCAGCAGTGAGTGCTTAGCTACTCTCTAAGCAGAGTAAGTTTTGTGCAAGTACATGGCTCGCAATAAATATGCCTGAGCAAGATTGTGTACCTTTTGCTATTGGTTGAGGAGACATAATTAAGTCTCTACAACTGAACAACAATATTTTGTTGATAAAAAGATCAGGTGTCTATTATTAAAGGATGAGTAGCCTGAGGACCAGGTTTCAGTCGGATGACTTCTCATATGAGCTACAGTTGCATGATTTCTTTACTATTTTATCTGGTGATACCAAAGTATACATTTAATGTTGGTGCCCAGAGGGGTTGCAGAGGAAGGCTTGTCCCTCAGCAAGGACAGGGTTCTTTACACTTGATTTAACTACTGTTGGTGCCACCTATTGGCAAAATATTTAGCTGTTAGGGCCCTCTAATCAAAGTAGAAAGTACTCTGAAGTACCTCTAAACATTATTGTATTAAACCCTGTGTAGTGATAAATGGCATGTTATAGGGTCTTTTTTCTTTTCAGATTTCTGTCACTTGAATCTTCTGGCATGTGAGCGTAGGAGAGCAAATGAAAACGTACTAAAGCATTTGATTCATGTTAAGCAGTAAGTTTTGCATTTGACTCCCTGAAGAGTCAAATATCTTAAAAGGCCAAGACACAAAATCATTTGAGACGTTCACAGTATGATGCCTGTTGTGAGTTGATGATATTTCTGTGGCCAGGAGAATTGCTTTTGGTTGTTGCTGAAGCTGAATAAGAAACCTAATGTAGTGTTACTGTTTTCAGAGGTGTTGATGGTTTATTTTGGAATGGTGCAGGCCACTGTAAATAGAAGCTGTCATCTTGCATGCTGACACTACACTACTTCCCTCATTCAGTGCCTTTGTGCAAGTGTAAATCTGATGTGTACATGTATTTGTGTTACTTCTCCAAACTGTGTGCTCCAGTGTATCCCCTTCCAAAAGTCAGGGTCACTCCAGCAGTGACTGTAGGAGGAGGCTTGGGTTTTGTTTTGGGTTTGGGGTTTTTTTTGGGTTGGTTGGGTTTTTTGTTTTGGGGTTTTTTTAAACTCATCTTTGGTTTTAAACTCTTTTTTTGTTTTCTCTTCCTATTGATATTTTTGGACTGTGCTCTTCTTTACAGTCACGTGCTCTGGTTTGAAGAACTGAATATTTCTACATGTTTAACTGTAAAACTCCTCATCTTGCCTTTTGATAAGGAATCCTTGGAAGTACTGAACCAAATTAGAGCTAAATTTGGGGTATTTCAGTTTTTTTTTTTTTAATAAAATCTATGTGTTAAAGATTTGGAAGGACTAGAAATGCTTATCTAAAAACGTTTACTGCATTTTGACCTAGTAAAGCAGTTTGTAAGAGATCAAATATGCAGAGAGCATAATAACTGGCCCATAATCCAGGAGGAAGCAGTTAAGGA